TTTTGAGGCATAACATGAGTACTGTTCCTTAAAGGAACTCTGTTTTGTGGACTGCTTTATCATCTTAGGCCATGTATTTTTATCACCTAGTGCCTTTTTTTAAAAAGGGACATCCACATTCCTGGGATGTCCCAGGAAACTACTAGCTGCCTTGAGGAAAAAGAACAGTTGTAACCACAAGACTTAACACTGTGAGACAATGTAAACCTGCCCTAACCCAGGAAGGTTTTGCCTCAGCTCCAAGCCAAGAGAGCTGTTTTCATATATAGTTGCTCCAAGGCAGTTACCATATTGTCACACTTTTATCTCAAAGTTCCCTTACTTTGGGCAATACCACTTATGTAAACACTGCTTCATGTATGGCCTTAAAAAGTTCAAAATTATTTCTTCCATGTTCTGAGAATTTCTTAGTTTCAGATATATAGATTATACTTTTCTCAGATTTGATTGGACAGGATAGTAATGTGATTGTAATTTTAATGAAGACAATTTTCTTCCCCCTGTAACCCATGTGTTTGATAAAAAAGTTAATAAAAACAATCTAACATACAAAGACATCTACATAGTTCACAAATTCACAGATTCACAGAAGTTTAGTGCTGGAAGAAACCTTGTGAGATCATTGGGTCCAACTCCCCACACCCCAGCTCTGGGCAGGAAAGACTGCTGGAATAAATCAAAATAAAAATAGGTTAGTGTAATCTATGTGCAAAAGGCTCTGTTCTCTCACCGTAATCAAAAGCTAAGAAGACTGTATAAAAATAACTTATTTTATTATTACAGTGGTTTCATTTGCATGGTTTCTTTGATACCATAACTACCCATGTTCTTTAATAGTCTATACAGCTTTTCAGGAAGAGCAGGGGGATAGGCAAAACTTGAATTTCTAAGCAGGTTTATGCAGTGTCCAAAAACAAAAAAAAACCCATTTCTCCTTTTGTAGTTTGACTATAAAGCAATTAATTAAATATGCATGATAATAATGTATTCTTATATATTACTAATAATGAACATAATTACTTAATTAGCAATTCTGTATAATCAAGGATGCTCTGTGTCCATTAAGAAGATTCTGCCATTTTCTTTGGGTTGCTAGTAATATTTATTTAAAAAGAAAACTTGGAAATTATCATATATGAAAGACAATTACTGCATTTGTTGTAGTGATAAGTCTCTCCTTTTAGTATTCTGAAGCCTTAGTTCTGTGTGCTTTTTCTCTTTTTTAAAGCAATACCTGAATAAATTCTATGGGTGCCCAAAAGACAATTGCAATTTATTTGTGCTGAAAGATACTTTGAAGAAAATGCAGAAATTCTTTGGGCTGCCTGAAACAGGAGATCTGGATCAAAACACTATCGAAACAATGAAGAAACCCCGCTGTGGTAATCCAGATGTGGCCAATTATAACTTCTTTCCAAGAAAACCAAAATGGGAGAAAAATCTTGTAACATACAGGTACGGACTTTCAGTATAATTTCTTACACTTTTATAGAATGCTATTAAGAACTGGAGTGTTGCAATGAGGCTTTTAGAAATGATTTTTTTTATCCCATGGTCTAATCTCTAGACAAGAATCACCAAATTATAAACTCTGCATATTTGGACAACTACTGAAGCATCTGTGAATCTCCAAAATTTAAAGTTGAATGAATAAATACCCAAAACCTGTGCTACAAATTTGAAGATTGAAACTTAGGAGATGTGGCTTATATTACTTGCTTTGCTGCAAACTTTCTGTGACATCTTGTTTGATTTCCTTAATGTTAGTGTGTCTTGCTTATCCATCAGTACAATGCGCATAATATTGTTTCCTGACTGCACAGGACTGTTATGGGGATTAACTCTGCCATAATTTCTGAATACTGCTCTTGATGCCACAAAGTAGCTCCTAAAATAAATTAAAAGCATGACAAATATTCACCACTGATCAACTGATCATACATCATTTGTTGTTCTTAACTCTCCAGTCTTACACATTTATTTCAATCAGGGACCAGATGGAATGTGTTTTAAGTAAGCAGTCATAAATAAATAATGAGGCACCAATGGTAGAAGTAAACAAGCTGTAGGCTGAAAATTCACAACAAATATTTCCAATATTAACATTGGTTTATCTATCTTTAATAATGGCTGTTGACCATTCCCTCTAGGAAACCAGGCAAATACATCTATCAGCATGTTTTTATTAAATGTCGATACCACAAAGAACTAAGGAATGATTCCATCCCTGTTGAAAGTAATGAAAAACTCCCACTGACTCTTAAAAGCATTAAATTGGTCCTAACTACTTCACCGATTGTGTTCCCTCTTATCTGGTCAGGGGTCACATCTTTCATACTCTGAGTAGTCTAGTGAACTCTGAAAAATATTGTGGTAGATTTCCAGGCCTTCTTTTGCAGATATGCTCCAGATGATATCATTGCCTTGCAATACTTCCACATACAAAGCAATTCCAGTAACTACAAGCAGCAGCACAATGTTGGAAGCTTTTCATTAGCAGGAAGTTCATTGTCTGCTGAGCAAGGCATTAATAAGCCCTGGTCAGCGTAAATCAAAATGAAGAAAGCAGTTCACTGATGAACTGTGTTTCCTCTACCTAATCTCTGTGGCTTTCGTCCATGTGCTTTCATTCCCTTCTAGATGTCTTGCATCCTCTGTTTGTAAGCTTGCTGAATGCTCTGATAAGGAACTGACTGTCACTCAGCCCAAGAGAAAATATGATGGAGAACTAAAATGGTACTTTGCTTTTTAAAAGTCAAAGAGCACATCCACACAAGATGCTACGTCACTATAATGATGAGTTATGGCAATGCACCTCATTGCTATGGCAACGTAGTGTCAGTGAGCACAAACTGTGACACTGATGCTACTGTGCAGTAGCATTAGAAACAACCCATGCACTGGGTACTTGCTTAAGAAAGTACTAAATAACTGTGCAGCAACAACTGTGCAGTCCTGCACACATGTAGATATGCTCAAGTATCTCTCTTGACTATACAGAATTCTGCTGACAGTTACAGTATTTTATGATGAATCAGTGAGTGAACTTGCATACACATGCCTAACAAAAGGATCTGGAAAGGTCTTAGGCCTTATTAAAAGCATATAAAAATGTGTATCTCAGTGCCTCAGATCTTATTTAAAATACATTTATTCAGTATGACACAAATTTGTTAGGTCAAATTGGGCATGTCTACATGTGCATTTGATGCGGCATCAGTTTACTCAAGAGTAAATTGCTTGCGAGTCCCAGGCACATATCTACACATGTAGGGAAGTGGGAGCATATTTGATGCCAATCTGCTCCTGCTTCCCAGGGCCCTGCAATGGGTCCATGCCGCCACCAGGCAAGAGCTCCAGGCGAGAGCTGCAGCTGCCCACAGCTGGCAGCCCTTTTCAAAAGCCAGCCTCATTCACTGCTCTCTGGCCAGCCACTTCCCTGGCCAGGAGCAGCATGTGTAATACAGGGACAGCAAGCAACAGCACTCTCCTTGATGTCTTTGTCCACCGCCCCCCCACACCATGGCTCCTTCAGCCCCTGCCCCTGGCAGCAACGAACAGCACCTAATGCTCATGCATGAGTCCAGAGGCCAGCACCTCTATGCTGGCCTTGCTGGCCCTGCTGGCTCATGATGCCAACCACTACCTGGTCCATGGCTGTCTTGAACCTCCTGGTTCCCCCACATGTAGCAACTGCCTGCCTGCCCACCATGTGCCATCCCAGACTGCTGCTACACACCTGCCACCTTGACTCCATCTGCCTGGCTGAACCCTGTCAGGGACACTAACAGTGGGCTTCAAGATGCCACTGCCAGGCCTGCTGTCACTCTCCTAGGCCTCCAGCCCTGCCTCCTCTAGGTCTATTGGGCCAGCCAGGACTAGTGGCTGTACATCATCCAGCATACCTGGGTCAATGAACAGTCGCTGGAGACATTCTTCATGACCCAGGCCACCTTCTGGGATCTGCTGGAGCAACTCCTGCCATACCTGGAGCAAGTGGCCCTTGCCCTGCTCAAGCTGACCATGCCCACCAGCCTGTGGTACATCTGTTTGTCATGGGCAAGGCCACCACTGGAGAAGCCATTGTGGAGGTGTATGGTGCCTTCCAGGACAGGACATGCTCTTCATGCATGACTCCCTGGTAGTGGTGCTGGGGTTCCATGCCCTCAGTTACCCTCAGTGCATCAGGGCCCTAGATGGGACCCACATCCCCATTACCTGCCCATCCCACAGAAACTGCCCCTATTACAGCCAGGGGGGCTTTCACTCCATGGTGCTCCAGGCCATTGTGGACCACCACGTTGTTGTCACACATGAGTGCCAGCTGGGCGGGCAGTGCCCACAACACCTGTATCTCTAGGAACTTCAGCCTGCCAGGCCCGGCAGAGAATATACAGTTTGAGCTGGGGGTGCTGGACCTGCAGCTGGACACCATGGCAGTCCTGACCCTCCTCATCAGGGACCTCACCTACCTGCTCCTGTCCTGGCCATGCAGCTCTACCAGGACCACTTCAACTGCTGTCTGCCACCTTGAGAGATGCTGGTATACCCTCACTACACATCTTGAGTTCACTGAGGAACACCTCCCCTGAGTTGTTGTCATAGCTTGCATGCTGCATAACATCTATGAGGCCTGGAAAGAGCTGTGCCATGAGGCCTGCGTAGAGGAGGCACAGTGGGTGGAGAACACCTGGCAGCAGACGCACAACCTTCAGTGGCAGTAACAGTAGTGGTCCAGCACCAGGGCACTGGGTGTGGGTGGCCCTGGCTGACCACATCCTCCAGCAGTACCTACTCTAGCCCACCTGCACCACTACTCACAGACCCCCCCAATCCCCCTGCCCACTCCCAGCGACACACTCACTGCAGACATGTTTCACAAGAACAAGTTTTTATTCCCTTCATGTCAGACAGAGCCCCCACTCCACCCTCCCTTTCCAACAAACAGAGTCTCCTCCCCCTCCCTCCATAATGAACAGAGCCCCCACTAAACCCATCACCCACTAAACCCATCAACAATAAAATGTCTTCTTCCCCATGAAACCTCAGGCATTATATGAGGTGTCCTTCCAAGAAAAGCCTTCAGTGCAGTAACAGGAGAACTACTGAAAATGCCATTGCCCTACAAGTAGACTGAGACTAGGAGTGGTTGCTGTGGGGGAGGGTTGGGCTCATGTACAGACATCAGGGCACTGAATAGGAGCCAGCTTTCCAGGGATTCACTACGGAAAAAATCTAAGCTAATTTGCTTTCCTCCTAAGTAGCCCAGGTAACTGTTACTCTATGCAAATGAAAAGGAATATACAGGAAATTAAATTGAATATTAAAATATGAATATTCCAAGGTGTAACTGACTAAAGCAGTCTGCACAAGCAAACATGTGGCTTCACTTTTGAAATGCTAAGGTAAATTCAGGCATTACATTTATATCAGTATAACTAGGGTTAGGTTGATCTAAATGCCCATCTATGCACATGTTCAGGGGGTTAAAAGGGGATAAAAATGGTACAATATGTAAAAATGTACAATATCCTGTCTGTGCCGTCTGGGGATAGGGGGAGGGGGCATAGGGTGGAGGTGCTTAGGGGGCAAGTAGCTAGCACCCCAGCCTCTGGCTGTTTCCTCGTTGCTGTCAGGGGTTAGGCATGGCTAGGGGCAGGGGCTGGGCAGTGGGTGGCAGGAAGGCAACTGCCAGAACCAGAACAGTGTCCAGCACCCAGTGGTTATCATTCATGGCCTTCACTGCCCTGGCCAGGACTGTGCTCTGCTCCTGCAGAGCGTCCACCTGCTTGTACTCCAGAGCTACAAGCTATACTTGGAACTCCCAGTCTGCCTGGTCCCACACCTCCTCACAGCCCGTGTCCTCCAGCTGTTACCTGTCCTGGAAAGCCATGTCTTCCACCCACCTCTTCTGGTGGGCAAAAGTGTCCCCCAGCTAGTCCTCTGATGCCATAACCAAGCAGTCTAGGAGGAGGATCCTTTTCAATGGTCCTCCTTTGGCAGAGCTGGCACATCCACAGGGCCCCAGCTGTGGGTAGCAGCAACCCTGATGTTGCATCCTGGCTGCCAAGTATATTTTCTCTCCCAAATGCAGTTGCAGGCCCTGTAGAGCCATGACAAAGAAGCTGCTTGTGTGAGTTTGCAACATTTCAGAGATAAGATGTTCTGTACTAGGGGCTGTGTGCTGTTCAGCCTCACATTGGGGGCTGGGCCTGCATGAGTGCCCAAGGACCATGGTAAGCCAGCTGGGCAGGTCCAGACCCAGACCCAGACTCAGGCCTAGGACACTGCTGGCCGAGTCCCCTGTGCCAACTCATTCCCCTATGGCCAGCAGGACACTGGGTGCTATACTCAGGAAGCCTGCCTCCTCCACCATATTCCCAGGGTGGAAAAGGGCCAGGCTTCTGGTAGCACCTTTTGCCACAGCTCCAGACCCTGCTGTTCCCCATTCTCCTTCTGCTGGCCAACTGCTGTGCTGTACTGCCACCCATCCTATTGTGGCTCGGCTCAGGGGGGTGTGGGGCTCCCAGACCACTGGGATGAGAAGCTGCCTGTGCCCCCACCTTCTCTTCAGGGACCTTCTCTGGGGAAGTGGCCTAGGGCCAGCCTCCCCTCCCCCCATATTCCCTGTGCATGCTGAGCATGCCCGTGCTGCGCATGTCCCGAGCACTGCATGAGGAGTTGTTCATTTGGACTGAGCAGTGCCCAACCCACTACACCCTGCTGCTGCTGCTAGCCATGGTGCCATGGGTGAACCTGCGCACCTTGCATGGGATTCTCTGCCCAGCCAGGGCTCACTATTAGCTGCCCCACCAACAGATAGGGGCAGGGAGCTGCTACATTCCCCTCCCCTGCAGCTCTTTCCAAGCACCACACCTGGATCTCCTGATCAGGGCACAGGGCTGGTACCTGCCTCTGACTGGGACAGTTCCCAGCACCCACTCCATGATCACAGGGTGGGGGGCTGGAAAGTTTGTACCCTGCTCAGCTCTGCAGTCATGGAGCTGGGTGGGAAACAGGCTGGAGAGCTTGTGCCCTGTTCAGCTTCACTATTCTGCAGCTGAGTGGGGAACAGGTTCCCCAGCCCGAGCCACCAGAGATCTCCCAGCACCAGCCTCATGACCATGGATAAGGATAAGGATTTAGGGAGATAAGGATTTCCCAGCCCTCACTCCCTGATCGTGATCTTAGAATGGGGGGCTTGAAGGCCCCTGCTGCTGGGGCAGGGGCACATTGTCCCCGTCCAGGCTCCAGTGGCAGAGCTGGCCCTGGCAGCTGCCAGCTCCTGGGGGCAGGGAGCATTCTTCTGCCCCCTGGTGGCTGGCTGACCAGGAGAAGATTTGCTTCCAGTCAGGCATCTACACAAGTGCTACTGCACAGTTAGTAATCAGAAGTAAATTTGCTACTTGCATTTGTAGTAACAAATTTACTCACAATTAGTGAGGTTTACTGTGAAGTAAGTGTGTGCACATGTAGGCACAGTACTTACTGCTTAGTAAACTACGCTACTTCACAGTAAAGCATTTTGTGTAGATGCACCCACAGACTCTGGCCAAATAGCAAATTGTATTACAGACTGCTATGTGCAGGGCACAACTACACAAGACATTTACTGTGCAATAGACTAATTAGCTGCACAGTAAAAGTCATGCATCTACACACGCACCCTTATTAGTCTGGAGTAAACTAACAGGATACAAGTACTATCCTGGCCTGCTGGCTAGCCCTGCCCTGAAGCACCCTGATGCCCCAGTCAGCCCATCCACAGCACATTGAGCCAGGGGGAGCAGCCCTGAGCTGGCAGTCTGACCCCCCCAGGACCCTTGCCAGCTGGGGTTGCTCCTACCCAGCTCAACGTGTTGCAGTCCTGGGCACATGTGAAGATGTGTTCCCAGGAGCAGTACACACTGGAGTTTATTGCAGTGCATTAATATGCATGCGTAAATGTACCCTCAGCGTTCTAACGCTGAAAGAAGACACCCATCACTGTCTGTCAGGTAATCCCATGTGGATAAGAGACTGATCCCAATCAAATCTGAATACCCCTGAATGCTTGGATAGTTCAGATCTCATCTGTGCTGTTGGCATCTCCTTTTATGGAAGGGTTAATTTCACCTTGTACCATCAGCATATTAAGCACTAAACTAAAAGGACTGATAAAGTCATGTCTTGTTTAATTTATTTGGGATTTGCTCTTTTTCTTTTATCATGAAGAATTTTGGGCTACACACCAGACTTGGATCCTGAAACAGTAGATGATGCCTTCGGACGAGCCTTTAAAGTCTGGAGTGATGTGACACCATTGAAATTTTCCCGAATTAATGATGGAGAAGCAGACATTATGATCAATTTTGGACGATGGGGTATATCTTTCTGTTTTTACATATGCTCTTGGTTTTGTTCCTTTCATTAATCCTCAGTACTGGAATGACCTCTGCGCTCCCCATGAGCTTTTCTGGCAAACCATATCCCAATTTGCACTTGATTTATGCAGGCTATATCTGATTTCATAAAAGTTTTCTCTCCCCTTGTCCCTCTTCTCATTACATATATGAGACAGAGAGAAAAGTCTATAATATCCTTATCCTATATTTATCTTTCCAAAAGAGAACTGCTAGGGGCAACATTTTATTTTTAAATTTAACAACCAGAGACAGAGCTTGGAAATATTAGGACAGACCCTTAGCTGATGTGAATTGGCATAGCTCTAATGAAGAGAATGGAATGTTTATTTATACATTTCTGCTGGGTTTTCAAATGTTATTTGTGGAGATGCACACTAACGCACACAAGTTTTAAAGGTGAATTTGTACAGATCATCCGAACTTGGTATTTGGTTTCTATTTTTATTATGGGATCAGTTCTGACCCAAACTTGAATATCCCTACATGTTTGAAAGTTTGAAAATCTGGATCTAAAACTGAGTTTTGGCTTATCTCCAGCCAATATATTTGACATGATTTAGCTTAAATATCACATCTTGTTAATGTTGGTTTATATTAAAAGAATGTTTTAACTAACCACCCAGAGAGCAGTATATTTTTAACTAACCAGCTAGAGAGTAGCATAGAGAAATATATTTGCATGACCAATCAAAATGTATCTTTAGTGGAAGGGGTTTTGGAATTTACATGAACAGAATAGCTGAGCACTGTTGGAGACATACATTTCAAGCTAGTGTTTTTTACTTACTTGAATGATGGGTCAACCTTGAAAGGTTCAAAGATTATGTACAGAACCCAAAATTCAGATTTTTACCCAGGCTTACTTAGTCCACAAAAATGCCATCTTTTAAAAGCAGAAGTGTCCGTGCTGGTTTTAGTATTTCATGATTAGTTGCCCCAGAAGTAGCAAGAAAACAGCCTCTCCCACAGTATTTTATATCTAAGTAAACAAAATTTATGTTCTTCTTTTCATTACAAATCACTGTTCATACACTTGTGCATGATATTCAAATTAGTAAGGATTCTGAATGTTGTTGGTTAGTTCATTTCCAAGCTTTATTAAACTACACTTTACTAAGGAATAAATGTAAAGACCAGATTTTTGAGAGAAAGGCTTTTAGGAGTCAAACTCTCATTAACTTCTCTAAATACTTTTTAAAAAAACTTGCCTTTATTGCCCTATGCACAGGCATACTGAAATGGAGACACTGCATTAACTTAAGTAGGTATAATCAAGTAAAGAGTCAGGCCAATGTACTCAGTGCTTCTGTCAAATGGCAGCATATCAGACCAAATAGCACAGAATGATGTAACTGGAGATCCTGGCAGCTTTGATGGTCAGGTCAGTGTGGTGAGAGAGCTGTGAATAACTGGGTTATGCCCTTGCCAGACTACTTTACCCACACGAGGTATCCTTCCAAGAAAAGCCTTCAGTGCAGTAACAGGAGAACTACTGAAAATGCCATTGCCCTACGAGTAGGCTGAGACTAGGAGTGGTTGCTGTGGGGGAGGGTTGGGCTCATGTACAGACATCAGGGTACTGAATAGGAACCAGCTTTCCAGGGATTCACTATGGAGAAAATCTAAGCTAATTTGCTTTCCTCCTAAGTAGCCTGGGTAACTGTTACTCTATGCAAATGAAAAGGAATACACAGGAAATTAAATTGAATATTAAAATGTGAATATTCCAAGGTGTAACTGACTAAAGCAGCCTGCACAAACAAACATGTGGCTTCACTTTAGAAGTGTTAGAGTAAGTTCAAACATTACAGTATAACCAGGGTTAGGTTGATCTAAATGCCCATCTGTGCAGATGTTCAGAGGGTCAAATTGGGGTAAATATGGTAGGCCTAATCTAAATGAGTTCACCTAAGGAGATAAATCAACACTGATTGGGCATGTACTTAGATGGAAAGGTGCCAACTGAGACCTTTGAGTCCTTTCCAAATACCCCCAATATTTATATGCACTATAATTTCCACATAGTCTTTCATCTCAGAATGAAAATTCCTCTCTTAAACGGCAGAACTATTTACCTGTGCCAATAAACTTTCTCACTTGAGTGTTCTCATTCATGCTTTCAATAGAAGTATATCTTTCCTATCTTTTATTATAACTATAAGGGTTTTCAGAGTTGGGCCATGATAACTTGTAAGTGCTCCTCCACTGCATTCTTTTTTTTGGTAGAGCATGGTGATGGATACCCATTTGATGGCAAGGATGGTCTCTTGGCTCATGCTTTTGCACCTGGGCCAGGAATTGGAGGGGATTCCCATTTTGATGATGATGAACTGTGGACTCTGGGCGAGGGTCAAGGTACCAAAGCTTTTAATGTTTTGAAGTATTTATACTACAGTATTAAACTATTAGCTACTTTGTATTAACAGTGTCTAGAGATTGCACTTAATTCTTATATTTAAATGATTTAAGTGCAAAGGAAGTACTAGAGGAAAAGTATGTTTATGACCTCAGAGAGTTATATCTAATAATTAATATTAGTAATACTAATTCTAATGATTAATTACTATGAAATTTAATCATTTAAATTGTGTTTGTGTAGAATTTTTATTTTTGGACGTTTCATGGGATTTCCTCTTTTTTTCCCAGCAAATAATTAATTATGTACTACTAAATAGAGGCTTGATCCTGCAAATCATTACTCATGCAAGTGCACATAAGAATTGAGATTTGAATAATTATTTCAGTGCCCAAACTGAGACACTGGAAAGGGATTTGATTTTAATAGGATAGAGGCTCAATGCTTTCTTAAAACTGAGCCCCTTTTAAGGATCCTTAAGTAGGCATCTAAAAATTGGCGGTCTTTTTTTTTTTAATATTGTCCCATTGTCTTCAGTGGAGACGTTCACAGGAAAGACAACTGGCAGAGCTCATGGAGTTTTGCTAAAGCACAAACCTTGAATTTCAGCTGAAATATATAGTAATGATGAAGGGAAAAAAAGACTTAAGGATAGCCATAAGTTTGCCTTTAGGAGACTTAAGATGCATTATGCAAACTCCAGCCCTCCATATTTTTTGCTATGTGAATTAAAAAAAGGGCGGGGCAGGGATCAATAAAATACTTACCTGTGTATGGTAAGGTTAAGCCATTGGTTTCACCTTTCAGAAGTGAATAGTGATGAAAATGACAGACTTTTCTTTTTAGTTTAATATTTTCAAGATTATAATTCTTTGCTGCATAAATTGACAAAAACTGAAGATCAAAGTAGCAGAAGTAACAATATACATTTTTTATTTCACATCATATTCAAGGTTTCTGAATTTATTTTTATTGGGAAAATAATGGAGTCATTATAGCATGGTAGTTAAGCTTCGTCCACTCCACAAAATAATACACTTGGAGTTGTCATCATTGGACTGAATGTCTGCTTAAGAGTAACAATGAACAGGAAACTGTTTTTTGTATTAGTGGATTTATTCTACAGAAGTCCAATCAGTTCCTACTCTTGAGCAATTGCTGAGCACAACTGGATGTACTACATATTAAAATAACTGACCATACCAGTGTAATTTTCCTAAAGAAAGTTTTACATATGACAGTCTCCTGAAATAAAAAAACAGGATCAGGGTATGTGAACTTTATTAACATACCACTAGCACAGCAGTAGATCAGATTTGTGCTGGACTGAAAAAGCCGAACTGTTTTGAAGTATGTTAAGATCCTGTTCAGACTACTCCATGAAACCTTTAAAATGATACCGAACATTATAGAATATACTTTAAAATATACTATTAAAGAACCTAAATTACTAAAAGTATTAGCAGCACACTCAGAAGCATGCATTGCTATAACGGCTTCTATGTATAGAAATATATTTTTCTGATCTGCTAATAAAGGACTTTCATTTTAACACTCATCATGAGTAATACCCTTGCAATTCTTTCAGAATTACTAGTTACCATGTTATTATTTAAGCTGTAATCATTTTGCCAATTGTGAGATGAATTACACATATTATTTCAAAGTGGAATTCAGCTCAGATTTCTATAGGAGTGCCCCTTATAACTAAATGTCATTCTAAAAAAAACCAAAAACCAAAAAAAGCAAAGTGTATTCAGACATTGAAATCCAGGTGAAAACAATCACTGAAGCACTGTTGCATTTTTTTCCTCTTACAGTTGTTAGGGTGAAATATGGAAATGCAGATGGAGAATACTGTAAATTTCCCTTCTTATTCAATGATAAGGAATATAACAGCTGTACAAATGAAGGGCGCAGTGATGGATTCCTTTGGTGTTCAACCACTTCCAACTTTGATGCTGATGCCAAATATGGATTCTGTCCTCATGAATGTAAGTAGAATACCATTTCCAAAGGCTTAATTTGTGTGGGAAGGGGGAAGGGAGGAGTGATTCATGATGGATTTTAGTCAAGATGTGTCAGCTCTCATTATCCTGCCTTTTTTGGTTCTCATCAACCCATAGTTATTTTTCAAGTCCTTGGTTTAGATTCTGTCCTACAACAGGCTTCTTTGTACCACTCCATAAACTAGCAAGATTTCTCTAACTAAGGGGGCTGCCTTAGCTCAGAGGAGTCATCATTTGATTATGCTCCTACACTATGTCAATCACTATGCCCTGATCAAGAGGACATGTTGGGAACATATAAGGAATACTGAGGAACTCAGGTAACCATGAAACACTGTTGTGTATATTGAAATTGATATAAGGCCAGTTTCAGGATCAAGAAACAGTATATGCATCCTTTGTGACCTCTTTATGCTCAAAAGAGAAGAGAATTTAGGATTCCATCTTCAGCTCCAAGGACCTAATCCCAGAACTGGGACCTAAGAAACTACAAGAAAAAACTAAAGAAAAAAATATGTGGAAAGCATCAACAGAAAACACTAGCTAAACAGAGCTCCTCACCATCTTCTTGGTTTTCCTGAGGAAATTCAGGCTCAGGTTAATGAATGAAAAGGATGGTTTTTCTATCTAAATCCTTTTAGTCATGCCACTTAGTTACTAATTGATGTGTTAGAAAGAAATTCTCTCAGCATATACAGTTCAGGAGCTTTCAACAGGCTTATCATATATACCTTGAAATAAGTAAAAATGTATAACTAGAAGTCTATTTGCTTGTAATATGCAATAATGTACAATAGCACTTACAAAGAACTTAAGAACAGATATTATATGATTTTTCAGTTTGATCTACCAATACCACTATAGCCAGACTGAACCTGGTCCCCCCTTATCAAGAAGATTGTTGGTTTCTCAACACCCATCAGCCTTATACTGTTGTAGTCCCTATGCAGCTCCTACAGGAATTAGTCTTCTTCTAACAACAAGTGAGACTGTTATGTATGAAATTCTTGGCATAAAGACAGAAGCTTAGTGGACCAGAACCTCTATTGCCAAATTAATGGGAACACAATCAGATTTCTCCAGCTGAGAACCTGATCTATTATCCTGTGTTAGAATCCACAGAGCCCTTTTCTGCATCATGACATACTCTGGTATTCTAGCACACTGAAATACCCTAGTGCTTCTATACAAAATTAAAGTGACAGGATTTCAAGCACAAATAAAGGAAATAAATGTTGGTATGAAGTTATTTATGTATTGGTACGGTGCACATTGTTAGTCAGGAGCGCGTTTACATTTTTAGAGTTAGGTTTTTATTTTTAACACATGCCTTAGGACTCTTTTATATATGAGGAAGTTTCAGTTGCCCAGTTTGCACAGAGGAATGACACAGTATTTTAGAGACCGTATCTTAGAATCAATATTGTTGGGAAAAATGTTAGTGGGGTTTGATATTTAATTTTTAGCTTTGCAAATTGTAAAATGAATTCTAGGCTTCACAGGCAATTTGTTTTACATTCAGAGTGATTTTTTTAGGAGAAGGGCATTTACCAAAAAGACTGTGTGATAATTTCATGTGTCAGCATTTTTTGTAAATATTTATGCAATATGATTTTATTTATAGCAAAAATGATATGGTAAACATTTTTATCTTTTTAATATTCTTAACATTTATTTGTATTCTTTAAAATCTCTATGCTGAGTTTGTAAAGTATTAGATTGCAGATAGTTAATATGTGTGTCTTGCTGGATATTAAACAGCAAGAAATATTTTAGCAAGGTAATAGACTACAGTTGAAAGACACAGGCCTGTAACTGAAGATAAGCAGGTTCTTTTCCCAGCCCTACAACTGATATATTTTATGATCTAAATAAAATCTTTTCACCTCTCTTTGCCTCTGCTTCTGCCACTCTTCTTTTTCTCTCTTGTCTATTTAGATCAGCAGTTCACAATCAGGGTGCCATGAGATTCATTGAAGGGTACCATGGGATGCAAGAAAATGTTAGTGGTGCTAGATGTGAAAACATGACTTACAAGATAATTACAGAGATTCATACAGAAATGTATAGTGTTAAAACATTCTGATCTGTTGTGATCTTTCTGAGTTTTTTGCAACAGAAGAATTGTTCTATTATTTTTCTGTAGTGTAAAAAAAAAGAAGTAAAAACTAAGAGCTAGCATTTTCTGAGGGGTGTCTTGAGTCTAACAATTTTGAGAACCAGATTTAGATTTTAAAGCCTTGGAAGCAGGGATTGTTACACTGTGTGTTTTGTAGCACACTCAGCCCAACAATCTTAAAAGCCACACTGAAACCAGAAAACGATACTCCAATATAATAACTGATAATTATCGTCACAAATGCAATAATCAAATAAACTAAAAAAAAGGTGTTGGAAATAACTTTCTTCCTACTTAGAACAGCTGCAGTCCACCTATTTGCAAGATTATGCCTAGAATATCTCCAATCTCTATGTTGTCCTGGGAAAGGAAATACAAGTTAATTAATGTCATAAGCAATCCTTGAAAAAAAGCCAATAATCTATTCAGTGTGTTGCAGGACCCACCCCAGATAGGGAATGTAAACAGTCTCTTCAGATGTCAAGGGGAGTTATGACTCCTTAGGTCCCCATTTCTGGCAACGTTGAAGTAAAGGTTCTGAAATTGCATCAATGGATTTTCAGCCTTTTGTTTGTAACGAATTGTTTTGCAAGATCTATGAACAGCTGCATGCAGATGTTTCTTGTTAACTGCATTGTGGCATTGTTCATTTATTATTCCAAGACACCATTTTCCTAGTAGACACTCGGGGCAGGACAAGGGAGTTACATCATAGAGTCTATTGTGTGGGTAAGAGTATTAATGGTCAGCAGGATCTTTTTTATTCTTTGGGAAATTCTTTACTTTTCTTATAAAATGATATAACCATGGCCACATAACCACAGCCACATGAAATACCTGAAAGAACTTTAAGAGGAGAGTCTACACTTCAGGCCTTAAACCTTCTTTTTTTTAAGGAAGTAAAGAAAATTTAAATTTGATACTCAAAGGAGCTATTTTTTAACAAATGGCTCTTATAGAAATATGACCTTGTCCTTATCTACATCAAAGTCACTTTAAACCATTCCAGCACTGTAATAGGTCAGAGGGCATAACAGTAATAATCAACCCCTTAAACTACCCTTTATATTCCCAAGGGCCTTATGCTCAGATCCACAAAGGTGATTAGGCACCTAATAGTTATGGAAGCTAGGTATTTAAGCAACTTTGTGGATTAACAAACAAGAATAAGGCCCAATGGTTTATACTGTGCAGTGATGATATAAAGAACATTCACTCCACCCCATGTGGCCAATGTGAAGACCAGGCTAGATTGCAGATCTGCTCTGGGAAAGTGAGACTGCTGTCAACCATTATACCAGGGTATCTATAGCTATCTATGCTCAGTCCCACACATAACAGCCAGCTGAGTGATGTTCATGGCTGAATGACTCTAGTGAAAGGGCACACCTTACATATTAGACATTTGATTGAAGACTGGATATATTAGATTCAATTCTGCTTTCCCATCATTGTAAGTTCACTGGCTTTAATGGTATTATTCCTGATTTGTTGGACTGTGTCATTACATCAGAATGTGATTCTTTTTGCCTTGATGATCAATAATTTAGCCCTTAGTTCAGCCTTCTGATTTAGAATCTCTTTCTTTTACAGTAAAACAAAGATTAAAATTAAGATTAAAAAAACCCCTAAAATCTTTATAAAATGTTGGTGAATGAAGGGATTTTTACCACTATATGTCATTACCCCTGGGCAAAACAAAGAACCTTATTTTGACTGCAACTCAAAAATTATTCCCTGTAAAGTGGTATTGTATGGACTTTCCATATGATTTTGCAATTTACCCATGTTTAAACCAATAAAAACTGCTATTTAAATATAGAGGTTGCCAGATCTGCAGTTGGAAGCAGTTTATGTGGCAAGTGAGTCATCTAAACAATTCCATTTCAGTTTCTTTTCCAATTGTATCATTCCTTTAAAAGCTTTCCCCCCCAATCAGTACAATCACTGCCCTATTTAATAGCCATTTCCTAACAAGAAATCTGGAGACAAATACTGAGTCAGACATGGACATTTATGTCAGCATTAGGACAGTGCGCAGTCTGTCTACAGGTCTGATCTGGCCAGTAGGCCCAAACTGGCATTAGGCCCAGCCCTAATTGGGCCTGACAAGGGAAGGGAGTATGGCCTGGCCCCTGTCTAGCTATCCAGAGGGGGAAGGGGATATGGCCCAGCCCTGGTCCAGTCCTGTAGATCTTGGGAATTTGATAGTAGGGAGTGGTGTCAGTCTTACTTGCTACTGCTTCCCCTCTGCCAAATTTCCGAACCCATGGAGAACCCCACAGGTCAGATGCCAAGGCTCCACAGGCTTCATTTGGCCTGTAGGCTGAAGGTTGAGCAACACTGTGCTAGATCTTTGCCATTGCCAAGCTCCAGTGATTTCTACTCAGTTCATTTGTGCCTTGGGAGTAGGTCTCTGACATGGGTGCTTCTAGGATAAGGAAAGCATGAAAGTGTTCTTAGTGAAGCCAGTTTGGCTATACAGAGAACAGTTTGGTCAGACTCTTTAATCAATAAAAACATGTTAATTTTCACTGATTTATGTCCAGCAAGATACAGAGCACCCTCCCTGCAATAGGACAAAAACTTTCTGTGTAACTTGCAAAGACAAGTCCATAATGCAATAATCAAACAGTGACTTAACTAGGAAAGAAGTGTTTCCTGCAGTGATTCCACTCTACTCAGCCTATTGACAGCAGAGCCAGAACTTTGTCTGGTTTTCATTCTGACAGCAAAACAAACAAATAAGCATCTTTCTTCCAAAACATACCATACTAAGCAAAAGGAAAAACTCATCCCCCAAAATCCAAAGTTTCTCTGGTAACTTTTCAAAAATCAAAAGTAACGGAAATATCAACAATCAGAA